CTGCTGGCTGGGGAATTCTGGGAGTTGGAGTCCACCCATCTTAAAGTTGCCCAGGTTGAGGAACCCTGCTGTAAAGTACTTTTTCTTTTTTTTAACAGACATAAAGACACTTTCCCCGTCATTTAGAGTAACCCACTGAAGTTGCATAAATTCCTTCAGCTGGAGCTTGGAGGCAGCCCCCCACGGACTGGAACATGGGGTCTCTGTCAGCTTCTGGATCCAACCAACAGCCCTGGTTGTTAGTTCGAGGCCTCCCAATCAAGTACCGACCAAGGCTAGCTTTCCCGGATCAACCAAGGGCTGCATTTCTTCGGCAGATGATGGACTGGGGAGAGAAAGAGGAACGAAATCCATGGGGGGCTGCCTCCAAGCTCCGGCTGAAGGAATCTTTGCCTTCATGCAACTTCAGTGGATTAATCTAAACAACGGGAAAAGTGCCTTTGTGTCCATTAAAAAAAAGAAAGTACTTTACCGGAGGGTTCCTCAACCTCAGCAACTTCAAGACGAGTGGACTTCAACTCCCAGAATTCCCCAGCTGGCAATTAACACGTCACGACTTATGGTTATTTGACCAAAAGACAAATGCACTTTTTCTGCTTCATCTTTTAGAAATTTTGCAGTGCAAGGTGAAGCTCATACTATGAAGGAAATCAAGTATGTCCTTACTGAAATGCTGGCACTTAAATGTGCTTTTGAGCTGGCTGGGGAATTCTGGGAGTTGGAGTCCACCCGTCTTAAAGTTGCTGAGGTTGAGGAACCCCGCTATACAGAAACACGCCAGAGAGAAAAGGGAAAAAAAGCACAGTCTTCAAAGAAGCCTCTCCTAAGTGACCCCTTATTACGGTGGGGTCGGTAGCACGGTGGGGTGATCAAGGTGTTGGACCAGGACCAGAAGCCCTTCAGTGCCATCTGCTTTGCTGGATGGGGCGCTGGGGGAACGGAGAGTGCCAGGCACGTCCCCTTGAGCTCCTGGCAGAGAAGGTGGAGGATATAAATCTAATGAATAAATAAAACTAATAATTAATGTACTGAGGAACCACCAATGTGGAAGTAAACAAGCCACCACTACAGATCGATACCCAAGATAGAATATTTCTTATTCTACTTGTACATCGTCTGGGTGTGTGTGATGATGATGATTAAATCCTGTGGTTCCTTCAAGGTGTTCAAGGTGGTCGTTTATCTTGCACAACAACAGGGCTGATGGTAATTTTCTCAAGGCTGGGCAGCTTCAGAGGAAGGCGTATGAATCACGGTCTTCCCAGCACCCATTGAAACTTGCTATGTCCAACGTACGGGCCTTATTTGAATTCTGCGGTTAGCAATACCTCTCCAAAGAACCTGAAGGCAATTTAAGTCATGATTTATTCATTACCGTAATGCATATCAGCATTTGCATGGGTCAAGAAAGGTAACGGGGTTTAGAAATGCAGGGCGAGGAGTGAAATGTTGCGCACGCAGCAAAATACGAAGCTTCTGCGGAAGGTGATGAAATATTATAGCGAGCGGCGGACAGATCTCTGACCGTGCCCTGCGCCTGCTTTCTCGACGTCTACAAATAGCGCTATTAGTTTCAGCACAGTGGACCAGCCAGAGATGTTAACAAAACAATACAGTCTGTCATTTTAACAAGCTTTCTTGAAAGGCCAACTGGATGTAGCAATACTAAAGAACAATACAGCCTGCCTGCATTTAAAATAATTGCTAGAAATGCCCATTGTATGTTTCAGCAACTCAGAAACTAACATAATTACATAGAAACAACCTCCGGTCAGAGCAAAATAATATGGAAGAATTGTTGAACTGTTTCGTACAATTACCCCGTTTTGCACTGCTGTAGCACATCCCAGGATCCTGAGTTTCATGCAGCCCCTGAACTTATTTTTTGCAACCCTGGTGTTCCCGCTGATCGCAGTTGCCAAAATACGGTTTAGACCTGCTATATCTGGGCTGCAAAAATCTGGATGTCACTGCAAAAAGATACAGAAAACTAAATCCTTAACTAACTAGGTGGGGTAGCCGCAATTAACACATCACGACTTGTAGTTATTTGACCAAAAGACAAATGCCCTTTTTCTGCTTCACCTTTTAGAAATTTTGCAGTGCAAGGTGAAGCTCATACCATGAAGGAAATCAAGTATGTCCTTACTGAAATGCTGGCACTTAAATGTGCTTTTGAGGGCCTTTGAGAAATTATATTTAAATCCATGCCACAGTGCTGCCGAAATGCATTGATTTCTTAGAAGCTTCACTAGGCAGATGTTTCATGATACAGAATAATAGAGGGATGGGATTATTTTTCAGGAATCAAAACATTTAAAACAATTCTATACAGTATTTAAAATGCACGTGCTAAAATGAAATGGCAGTCTAATTTCCACAATATGAAAATAAGCACAAACCTTTTTCCCCACTTGTCTTGAAAAGCTTAGTAAGGAGAGCACTGGAGAATCTCAGATCTGTATACTAGACTGAGAATTTGGATAAACGTCTTGTAAGAAAACAGGGCCAACCCATTTCTGTACTGCGATCAAGAAAACAATATAAACAAGTCATGAAATCCCCAGGAGTTACACTTAATTTAAAGGATGCTTCACCCTTATCTTATGTGATAGCTTTTGTTTATGTTTCACTGATATTTTACTTAGCCAGTGTTTACTAACTTGGATTTTCTTAAATTAGATAGATAGATTTTATTAATTTCAAGCAGTGACCAGCATAAGAAAAAGAAAAGAAAAAATACAGTAAGATGAAATGTACCAATACATCGTGAGTAAAAAAAATACAGTAAGTGACACACCAGTGCATACTATTAGAATTAAAATTCCTGTATCTAAATTTGAAGCTAAATCTAAAAGGGGAAGTAAATATTCAACTTATAATACAATAATTTGACACTCTAAACATAAGCTATCCTATAACATTTTAAAAATTGGGGTATTCATCTTAGATCACCGAAAAGAATACAAAAGATACAAACAGAAGAATGACTATGTACTATTAGAAGTCTGAGACCAATCGTTAATGCATATTGTTAAACAAAACTTGGCTATGTTGTACGTGATAGGACTTTCCTTATCTAATGGGTGAAAGTCAACATAAAATTCTTCAGGCCAACCTAGAATATGTGACAACAGAGTCAATATGAGCTTTCTCCGGATATCGGTGTGAAATGGAGAGCGTTATGGCATGTAAAGGATAGATTCAGTTGAGCCCTCCCCACAAGAGCAGGTTCATCTAACTATAGGAACGTTATTAAATTTCCCATATAGGAGTTCTGGTTGTTGAATCTAGCCCTAAAAAAGAACCTTAATTGTGATGCATAAATTCATGAACAAATATAATGAACTGATTTCCATCTTGGGTGGTTAAACCAAGCTGAGATAGACTTAGGAACAAGGCCCCTCTCATTCTGATTATCAGTGTCCAGGAGCAGCTCTGTAATGACTCACTTAACCTAGAGGATTCAAGAAACTGTAAAGACCCAAAGACCACAAGAGGAAACCATGAAGATTGACATTTATCAGATAGGATGGATGGAATCAGTCCAGCTGGGAAATAATGGCACTTAAGCCAATAAATAATAATCACTGGCCAAGTTTTGAACTCAACCCTCTTTTGGCAAGTCTTGAGCCAAAAGATGCTCTGATAAAAGTGATCTGGTTGCCTGTGAGCTGGCTAGAAGTACAGTACAGAGCGGATCCCATTCACCGCTGAAGGTGCCAGTTCCGGGCGAAACATCAGGATATCAGACAATTAGACAATGGCGTACTAGCCTGGAAGCTCATCCCCAGGGGTGCAAACTAAGTTTATCAGAGCACACCCCAAAATGTATATCTGACGTAACATTGGATTGATGCTAGCCGTGAAAGCCTACATCAGTATATTACTTTGCACCACTTCCACCATTGTGTATGTAGTGTTGCTGTTTGCTGCCTTGAACAGTGTTTAATGGAAGGCAGAATATATTTCCATACATATGGAAAGATGGTTTAAAAACTAAATAGGTAATACCCTAAATTGATGATGAATTCCTCCCTCCACCTCTTTTTGGGAATGACATTTGATCAAGCTTTCAGGATCTTATATATTTTCTATGGAGCTTCTGAAGCAATAAGACAGTTCACATACAGCATAAAATGGCACAAAGATAAATCATGAATAATTATTCACATGGACATTTCTAAAAAACACCCCTAGAATTAAGGCGCCCACACAGTTCAGGAAAAGTGTGAATTGCCTGGTGGTCCTATTACACCTATGACTTTGTTGCCTCCAGCAAACTAACACCCAACAATCATCTACAAACCTTGAGCAGTCCTAACCTCCATTTACAAGATAAAAGTAATGGGCAGATGCTTGAAAGAGTGGTCTCCTGCCCCCAGA